CTTTGGCAATACTGCCGAATGCCTTTTGGACTAGTAAATGCTTCGAGTACTTTTCAGAGACTAATTGACTCTCTTTTTGGACCAGAAGTGGAACCTTATGTGTTCGGATATCTTGACGATATCATCATCGTGACGGACAACTTTGATGAACATATAAAAAGGTTAGAATTTGTTTTAGAGGAACTGAGGAAAGCAAATTTGGCTGTTAATCCTGACAAATGTGAATTTGGATGTTCACAAGTCCGATATTTGGGATATTTATTAGACGAGGAAGGATTACGGCCAGATCCAGAGAAGACAGAAGCAGTACGAAGCTATCCACCACCCACGAATATCAAACAACTTAGGAGATTTCTAGGAATGGTTGGATGGTATTCAAGATTCATCAAAAATGACAGTGAGATCAGACTACCACTCTTTAAGATGCTTCAGAAAGGACGATCATGGGAATGGGGTGACGAACAACAGGAAGCTTTCGATATTTTGAAAATTAAATTGACGACAGCACCAGTACTCGCCCGCCCTGACTTCAATTTGCCTTTCACAATACAATGTGATGCAAGCAGTTATGCCCTTGGCGCCGTTCTGACTCAGGAGTTTGACGATGGAGAACATCCAGTGATGTACATCAGCCGAGTGTTAACTGGGGCTGAAAGAAACTATTCTGTGACAGAAAAAGAGTTGGACTTTGAAATTATTCACAGAAAGGGTGCATTAAACCAAGTTCCAGATGCATTATCAAGAATGACCGAAGATGACGAAATGATTGACGCTTTTGAGACGATTGAGGATCTATGGTACATCAGACGACGGGAAATGATCAGAAAATTTCCAAACAGATTTCCTGGCTGGAAAATTGAAAATGACCTTTTGTACCGTCATCGTAGTGACCCTTTGCTCCTCCCTATAATGGGTGACGAAGATGGATGGAAACTGGTCGTTCCAGATAAACATAGACTAAGGGTGTTAGACGATACTCATTCTATTCCATCTATGGGACACTTAGGAGTAGAGAAGACATATGACAGGGTTGCGAGAGAATACTATTGGCCAGGAATCTGGAAGGACGTACACAAATTCGTGACTCATTGTGTACAATGTCAACTACATAAAGTATCTCAAGCCGGACCTGTAGGAATGATGGGACAGAGGATAGTAGAAAGACCATGGGCAGTAGTTGCAGCAGATACAATGGAATTCCCACCAAGCAAGAGCAAATGTAGATATCTTGTTGTCTTTCAAGATCTATTTTCAAGATGGATCGAATTAAAGCCTCTAAGATCTGCAGACGGAAAATCTGTGACCAAAGCTATCGAAGAGTTAATCCTTTTTAGATGGGAAACTCCAGATTTTCTCTTGACAGACAATGGGAAAGAATTCGACAACAAGACACTTAAAGAGACACTTGAGGAATACGGGGTGAAACATATTACAACACCACCCTACCATCCTCAAGCTAATCCGGTAGAAAGAAGTAATAGGACTTTAAAGACAATGATATCGACATTCGTAGGGAATGACCACCGCGACTGGGATTTGCATGTCCATGAGTTCCGACATGCAATGAATACCGCAACTCAAGCTACTTCTCCGGCATTCTTAAACTTTGGTAGACATGCACGACCAGTAAAAAGTTTACGACGAGAGATCGAAAAAAGAGACAAAGTACGAAAAATTTCACCTGACGAATGGATTGATAGGGTTAAACGACTAGACGCATTACGAGACTTGGTAATTAAATTCATTGACAAGGAGAAAAATAGACAGACTGAATACTATAACAAAAATCGACACGAAAACAACTTTAAAGTCGGTGATTTAGTACTTAGAAAATCTCATAAATTGTCAAGTGGAACACAAAAATTCGCAACTAAATTAGCTCCGAAATTTGAAGGTCCATTTAAAATTATTAAACAATTATCAATAAAATTAAAAAAAAAAAATTTTATGACGATTGTTTTAAATAATAAATTCACTTTTATACAAGTTAAATAAATTATATTCCCTTATCAGTCATAAATCGAATTAGAGAACCAAACGTGATAGTCAGACGCCAGTCAATTTTTTTTTTTATAAAATTGACAAAAGTTAATATTCAAAATTTAAACAACAACAATACAATATTATCAACAATTTATCCCAAAGGAGATTCCGTCAGGAAATATAGAATTAAAAGGGAAATAATTAATTCTCTGAAACACGACTCTTATATCAATAGGGTAAATGTGGGTATTACTGTGAATGCCCCAATTACTATGATTTCGAATAAAAGGAATGATTTACAATATTTTATAATAGTAAAATTTTTTAAATAAATTTTTAAAATCTATTTTTTATATAACTTATATAATTTTTAAAAAATTAACAATATAAAAAAATGTTTTATCATTTTTATGTTAATTTGAATCTTGCATGTTACAAAAACTGTTAGTTTTACTGACAAAATTGATAGACTGGCTATGAACACGTTTTCGAAAACCTATTATATTATTTTGCTGTGAATATAAAAAAAATATTTAAACAGTATTTGTCATTTAAAAAATATATAATTTTTCTAAATAGTCGTGAGAAAACAAAGAAAATGATTATTTTTTATATTTTTTCGACATATTAGTATTTGGCACATGAATTTCCTTGTTTACCCAATTATTGCGATTTTCGATTTGCACGAAACATAACCATGCAAACTTAATTGACAGTCTCGTCTTACCTCCTATCTAGTCATTTTTTAGGCTTTAATTTTAAGATTAGTTTAGATTAGACATTATTTTGTGCAATGAGGAAACAAAGAAAAAAAATTGTGAATAAGAATATAGTGAAAAAAAAACCAAAGAATGTGCGAATGCAGTATTCGGAAAGCAATCTCAAGTTAGCGTTAGAAGAGGTTATGACGGGAAAATCGGTGGCAATGGTTTCGAGGAAATATGACATACCGGATTCAACTCTTAGAGCAAAATTAAGTAATAAATATAGTGATAAAAAACCCGGCCCTAAAACAGTATTAAGTCTGGAAGAAGAGAATGAAATTGTTAAATGGATTTTCCACTTTTGCAACATTGGATTCCCTATTGGAAAACCTCAGTTACTCGAAAGCGTCCAATTAATAAAATTTGTTAAATAACAGATTTTTATTAACGTATCTCAAATTTCTTAATACCCTCTTTAATTTATAATAAATATTGTGTTCTATTTAATTACATAACTTTTTATTTCACACAAATAAAATCACAGTAAAGCACTCCTAGTAATTGGGTCATTGTAGTAATTGGGCCCATTGCTTCACATTATTTCAAGCAAAATAATAGTAATACCAGCATGGATCATTTTTTAAAAAGATATTATTTTTAAATATATATTTGTTTATTTAAATATTTAAAGTATTGCTTCTATTTCAATAGATATCAGTAAAGCTTTAGAAAAAAGAATTAAACAATTATTTCATTTACACTTATGTTTTTTTATCATTTAAGTCGTTCTTGGGTTATAAATCACAGTATTTGGGTCGTTTACCCTACAACACTTACTTTTCCTCATCCAATGAGAAGATCATTTAATCCGTCATAAGAGATGAATCCTTAAATGAATAGTCACCAATTTAGTACTTTCATAACTTTTTATTAATACTCTTATCAAATTCGTATCTTCTTTACACTTATTTCCATAATCACAGAATGATCACAAATCTCTCCTATATTCTAACTTCTACCGTCACTCTCTTACTCTTCTTGTACTCGTCTCATTATCGTCTGCTACAACAGACGCTCTTTTTCGCGCAATTCCCGTAGTCAAAAAAAGGGAGTTTTCATTGCTCCTTTACGCCCTAAATCACCAAATTAGCGCGCGAATTTAAATGGTCAATTATCAAGGGACAATATAAAATAAAAATACAAGTACATTTGATGACTCTAAATTTGACAAAAATTGCTCCGTCACAATATCCCCCTGATAAGACTGGAACTACCCTTCGTAGTTTCAAACAAAAAAAAAACTAAAATTATAATAACAGAATAATTTCACTCAAAAAAAAATATCATTCTTCACAAAATGCAAACAGCAATATATCAAAATTATTAAATCGTAGATAGACATAAAATAATTTTCTTCTTAACAGAACTTATAACTTTCTCTCTTCACACTAACAAAAAAAAATATTATTTTTCTCAGATAGAAACAAAAATATATCAAAATTATAAAATCGTAGATTAATAAAAAAAAATATAATATCCTTTTCAACAAAACTTAGTTTCCTTGTGAACTAAACACACAAAAAAAATATAAAAAGGGTCTTTATAACACTTTAATTATTGTCCATACTCTTCTTACGCTCGAGGATCAACTGCTGTACTGCCATGTTGATCGTCTCTGCTGGGAGTCCTTCCATTACCATGGTAATCTCTCGGATGGCTGCAATCAGGTCCAAAGGTCGTTCTATCGTAGGTTCCACTTCATTATAGGAAGGTGGTGGATCATTTTTTTGTTCGTCAGACAATACAGACTCGTCCATTTCATTCTTGATGACTTCTGACCTTATTTCCCACTCCTTCAGCACCTTTTTAGAAATTTTATGAATTTGTGATGATTCAATCAAGGAGCTATTTGATGATGGTGGAGATGGACTTCTTGGGATGTTCCAAGCTCGTTCACTATTCCCACGTCCATCTAGGTTTGATCCTAGATTAACTTCTTTGGTCCACATAGGGGGTAACAGTAAATTTCCATCTCTTCTTTGATTCATCCTCTTATTCCCATAGTCCTCTTCAAGAACAGCACAAGCTTCGTCAGATCTGTAGTTCCTTTTTCCTCTTATCAAATACTTCCTATATCCCGGAGCACAACGTGGAAATGCAGAACTGGGACTTTGAAATTATTAAACAATTATCTCCTTCAGTTTTTGTATTACTTACAAAAGATAGTCGTAGAAATCCCAAAATTCATGTCACAGAATTAAATTTATTGGTTAAATTTATTGCAATTTTTCTAACTAATTTTATTATTTTTAGATCTGATGTAATTTTGACTGGGATGAGAGAGCAGTGACACCCTGGAAAAGAACGGTAATCATTTTGACAAGGGAAAGCAGCGACAGAGGACATTAAGAAGACAACCTTATAAATTTAATCCAAAAATGCCACGACGCGGGTTAATGAGCAGAAGGTCAACTTCAAAACATCGAGCCACTGAAGAATTTCAGCTACCTAAGGACTATTCAAAGCCGCCATCTATACTTGATTTCCCAATCCATGACCAAGGGAAAGAAAAATCCCTTGGTGCAATATCTCGTCGTTCTAATAATGACCAGGGACAAGGAAGTATAATCAATGTGAATGGAAGTGCCTCAATCGATCCAATGTTGTTACCTAAAGGGAAAATTGCGGAAGAGAACCCTCGACGTAAGAAGAACGAAAGCTGGGGAGAATACGGTAGCAGGTTAGCAGTGGAGGAATTGGACAGGTTCATGAAAAATATTGAGCCAAAAACGTCAGTAAAAATAGAAGAATTGAAGGAGCTACAAATGGAGGAGATAGAGAGAAGAAAACATGTACTGAAGAAGGAAGATGTGGTCCATCCCAATGATGAAGATGATGTTACGATGTCTCGCTGTTCAACTCCTCCTGGCCCACCAATTAACGTAAATCCGAAGAATATTGAAACTGATCAAATTGTGATCAGAGAAGCACTGCCACGAAAAACTACCGGTGTGATGTTCAACGACTTGGTCTCCATCCCGACAGACCCGACAATAGACCCGCCACCAAGATGTTGCCAGAATTGTTGGAGAAAAGGCCACAAGAAATCACAATGTACCAAGAAAGTAACTGAGGCTCATTGTGATAATTGTGGGCGGAAATATGTGACAGTAGCTAATTGTCCACGTTGTGCTCCGGGATATAGGAAGTATTTGATGAGAGGAAAAAGGAACTACAGATCTGACGAAGCTTGTGCTGTTCTTGAAGAGGACTATGGGAATAAGAGGATGAATCAAAGAAGAGATGGAAATTTACTGTTACCCCCTATGTGGACCAAAGAAGTTAATCTAGGATCAAACCTAGATGGACGTGGGAATAGTGAACGAGCTTGGAACATCCCAAGAAGTCCATCTCCACCATCATCAAATAGCTCCTTGATTGAATCATCACAAATTCATAAAATTTCTAAAAAGGTGCTGAAGGAGTGGGAAATAAGGTCAGAAGTCATCAAGAATGAAATGGACGAGTCTGTATTGTCTGACGAACAAAAAAATGATCCACCACCTTCCTATAATGAAGTGGAACCTACGATAGAACGACCTTTGGACCTGATTGCAGCCATCCGAGAGATTACCATGGTAATGGAAGGACTCCCAGCAGAGACGATCAACATGGCAGTACAGCAGTTGATCCTCGAGCGTAAGAAGAGTATGGACAATAATTAAAGTGTTATAAAGACCCTTTTTATATTTTTTTTGTGTGTTTAGTTCACAAGGAAACTAAGTTTTGTTGAAAAGGATATTATATTTTTTTTTATTAATCTACGATTTTATAATTTTGATATATTTTTGTTTCTATCTGAGAAAAATAATATTTTTTTTTGTTAGTGTGAAGAGAGAAAGTTATAAGTTCTGTTAAGAAGAAAATTATTTTATGTCTATCTACGATTTAATAATTTTGATATATTGCTGTTTGCATTTTGTGAAGAATGATATTTTTTTTGAGTGAAATTATTCTGTTATTATAATTTTAGTTTTTTTTTTGTTTGAAACTACGAAGGGTAGTTCCAGTCTTATCAGGGGGATATTGTGACGGAGCAATTTTTGTCAAATTTAGAGTCATCAAATGTACTTGTATTTTTATTTTATATTGTCCCTTGATAATTGACCATTTAAATTCGCGCGCTAATTTGGTGATTTAGGGCGTAAAGGAGCAATGAAAACTCCCTTTTTTTTGACTACGGGAATTGCGCGAAAAAGAGCGTCTGTTGTAGCAGACGATAATGAGACGAGTACAAGAAGAGTAAGAGAGTGACGGTAGAAGTTAGAATATAGGAGAGATTTGTGATCATTCTGTGATTATGGAAATAAGTGTAAAGAAGATACGAATTTGATAAGAGTATTAATAAAAAGTTATGAAAGTACTAAATTGGTGACTATTCATTTAAGGATTCATCTCTTATGACGGATTAAATGATCTTCTCATTGGATGAGGAAAAGTAAGTGTTGTATTGATATAAGAGTCGTGTTTCAGAGAATTAATTATTTCCCTTTTAATTCTATATTTCCTGACGGAATCTCCTTTGGGATAAATTGTTGATAATATTGTATTGTTGTTGTTTAAATTTTGAATATTAACTTTTGTCAATTTTATAAAAAAAAAAATTGACTGGCGTCTGACTATCACGTTTGGTTCTCTAATTCGATTTATGACTGATAAGGGAATATAATTTATTTAACTTGTATAAAAGTGAATTTATTATTTAAAACAATCGTCATAATAGTAACATTCTTTGACATTCTATTAAATTAAAATAAAATCTATTTATTAAATTCTATTAGTATAATCAATACATTTTAATAAAATTGAATTACTCATGATACAAAAGTTTGGAACGTTCAAATGAACCAAAATTTTTTTTATTCATATTTTCAAATTTTCTATTGGAAACTTCTTAAAGCAATGCCAGAAAACAAAATTCATTAAAAAAACAAAAATTTTTAAACAACAGGGGTAAAAACCGACACCCCATAGGGGTGATATACTAGAAAATCGAAAAGTACATTTAGGCGTTAATTTTTTGCAACTTTTTCAACGCAGAAAATTTTTATTTATTATTCTAAACAACTTCCAAAAAATTGGAACCTTCGGTCGAACCCCCTTCTACCCCCTATAATAGTGATGATGACGTATTAAAAAATCGAAAAGTACTTTTAAGCGTTAATTTTTTTCAACTTTTTCAACGCAGAAAATTTTTATTTATTTTTCTTTACAACTTCCAAAATACTAGAACGTTCAGTCTTCCCCTTCTACCCCCTGTAATGGGGATGACATACTAAAAAATCGGAAAGTACATTTAGGCGTTAATTTTTTGCAACTTTTTCAACGCAGAAAATTTTTATTTATTTTTCTTAACAACTTCCAAAAAACTGGAACCTTCGGTCGAACCCCCTTCTACCCCCTGTAATGGGGATGACATATTCAAAAATCGAAAAGTATTTTTAGGCGTTAATTTTTTGCAACTTTTTCAACGCAGAAAATTTTTATTTATTTTTCTAAACATCCAAGACTCGGCGTCGATAAATCGGCTGTACTCAGTTAAATGTTTTCCGTAGTTTCCCTTAACTATATGGCCAGAGAGGGCCATGTGAATACGAGTACTTCTAATAAAAGCCGGCTACGGACCGCAAATAGGGGGTATTTGGGAAATTTGGAGAATATTTAGGAGTTGTCATATCTGTAAAAACCCAAATGGGGAATACATGAAGAACAATAATAATAATAAAATAGTTTTAGACAATGCTTTAATCATGTTAAAAAGGTTTTAATTTTTAATCCTTTAGGAACTTTTTCTTAATTGGGAACACTGCTTCCAAATTTAAAATTATATTTTTCAAAAAATATGAATAAGCTTTATGAACATTTTATTTTCAAAAATTATTTCTCTTAAATTATTTGAAACAAATTTTAAGTTAGTCGAGAATTCAATTATTTTTATTAATAATTGATTTATGTGGCTTTCGCTAAGGCACCATGCGAAAATAGGATGGATTCAAGAAGACTAGAGACAGGAGGTAAAACTTTGGTAGTGGGGGTATGGCAATGCTGAGTCGCTCAGCTGATGTATGGTCAGGCGTTTACTTTCAAAAAAAGTTTTCGCCGCAATAGACCACACGGACTTCTGCGCAGCTACACACGTAAACACAGGAAAATATATTCTATACAAATACAATATGAAATATAAGTGTTTATATTTTCAAACATCTTTTAGTTATTAAAAAAACGTTTTAAAAACAAAAAAATGTGTAAACTGTAGCATGAAGTGTATTAAAAGTTAACAAAAAGTAATAGTCATAGTGCTGTGTTTATCTTTCTTCTTGTTACAACTTTTCACACAGCACGTTTTCGGAATTTTTAACTATTTGAATAACACTTAATTTAATAATCACTCACATTATTTCTATATATCCGTTATGACACACATTGTCAATTGTGTCTCGATTGCACTGATTGCACTTTAAAGTTAACCTCAAATTAAAATCATATCATACACATATGTAAAACATATGGTATACAAGAATTTGAATGTGTGAGTGATGTGCAGAAGCACCGCGCCGGCGACTTTTCGAAACGAAAAACGCCTGGTTAATGAAAGGGTTTTGACTCATCCCCACTACCGAAGTTTCACCTCCTGTCTCTAGCCTTCTTGGATGGATTCCAAGAAAATCACGCATGGTAGTGTGCGTGAATATACCCAACGTGCGTGCAATATACACAACAGTTTCGCTCATGTGTTTTTAGCACACTATTTTTTTTCCGTGTACTATTTCAATAGGTAAATTTTCCAAAAGAATTTAATTTTTTAATTAAATTGTACAATTTAATTAAAATTTAATTAAATCATTTACAAATTATTTTCATAAATAATTAAAGTCTCACAGAAATTCAATTATTAACAAATTTTTTATAAATTTTTTCTCAATAATTCAATTAATTTCATAAATTATAAACTTTTATTAGGTATTAATTTTATTTTATTCTTAACAATTTGATTAAAGTTCGTCAAAAAAATTCAATTCTTAATAATTTGTTAATATAATTCTTTATAATAATTATAAAAAACATTCAATTATTCAATAAATTATTTACTTTTGCATTTAAATAATTGAATAATTTTGAAAAGCAGGTTTCAAATTAAAATATATTTGAAGATTTGAGTTTTCTAAACTTTTAAATGACAATTTTGAAAAATTAATTTTTTTGAAAAAGTTTAATTTAAATTTTTTTTGAATAATTTGAAGTTACATGGTTCTTACATGGAAAATTTTCCAAATATGAGAATTTTTCCGAACTTTTGGGATTTTTTTTAAACTATTTCATAAGAATAAATTTTTAGGAAATTTTCGATAATTTTTTTAAAAAATTCCATTATGTTAGTAAATTTTTTAAAATAATTAATAAATTATTAAACAAATAACTGATTTAGAGGAGAATTTTAGTTACAAATTCTAGAAAATAATAATTGAATTGAAATGATGAAAATAATTTTTAAGAAATTACAGTAACAATATTCTTAATATTAAATAATTATAATACTTTTATAAGTTGTTTTATTTCAAAAAGGTTTGAATTTGACATTTTTAAAAATCTTAATTCCCGTGGAAAAATAATAATAATTAAATATTTAAAACAAATTAAGAAGTTATGAAAGTTTTTAAATAATTTTACGATTAAAGAAATTCATATAAATAATAAATGTAAGAGCACATTTTTTGATTAAAATTTTTCCTTAATTTTCTAAACATTTAAAAATTTTTAAATTTCATTTTCAATTAAAATTTGCAATTGACACGTATAGAATTTATAAACATTTTTTTCCTTTATTTTTAAAAAACCTTAAATTTTATTAAAGCAATTGTAATTAAGAAATAGAAATGCGAAGTAAATTATTTTCTTATAAAAATTTGAGAATTTTCTACAAAAATACTAAGAAACGGGAATATGTAAAAAGAAAAGAGATTGAAAAAAGAAAATGAGATTGTAAACAATATTGATCAATAATCATAATTTTTAACAATTAACAATTTTCTAATATATTTTATAAATATAAAGCAAAAAAATCAATCATTTTTATTTTTCAATTATTTCAAATCTTTTTAATTGTATATTTCGAAACTTAAACTAGACAAATTATTCTTGAATAATTTTTTAAACATTTGTCTATATCTGTTTTCACACTAGAAAAATCGAAATAATTTGCAAGTTCTACTAAAATTGAGCAGACGAAAGGAAAACTACACATAAAATTTCAACAGGCGTTTGAGTTGGCCTCTAATGGTTGAAAAACCAATGGTCATAAAAAATTTTTTTGAAATCACTTCCTTATTGGAAATTTGATTTTGCATATTTTTTCTTCTATAAAAAAATTGATAACTTTTACCATTTTCGAGAAAAATGCAAAAAACTGGATTTTTTGAAAACACATTTTTAATTGAATTTTTGACTTCAATTCGCTCTAAAACATAAAGTTATGAATATTTTCTTTTTATATGTACAGGGAGTATAGTTTAAATTATCCTTAAGACAACAAACTTTGGCAAGAAGTGAAATATTTTGTTTAAAAAAAGTTATTAATTTTGTTCATAAACAGTCTCAAAATTATTATTTACAATGTTTGAGGACTTCGTTTACCTGAAAAATTTTTAGTAATCGAAAACTTCCAGTGAAGAAAATGTTCATTAAGGTATAATAAATAGTTTTGCTAAATAGTTTTACTCTAGGATTATCCGTTTACTAAATATTATTAAAAAACTATTTTCTGACAAATGCGCGCGAGTCAAGAGTCTAGCGTATATTTTGAGTTGTCAATGCTAAGTCTCAAGGTTGCATAGCCGCGCGCGTTTGACAGTAAATAGTTTTATATATTTATTAAACGGTTAATTCTAGAGTAAAACTACTTGGCACAAGTATGTATTATACCTTAATGACATTTTTTTCACTGGAAGTTTTTGATCACTAACAATTTTTCAGATAAACGAAGCCCTCGAACATTGTAAATAATAATTTTGCCACTGTGTATGAAAAAAATTTTTAACTTTTCTTAAACAAAATATTTTACTTTTGTCAAAGTTTGTTGTCTTAAGGATAGTTTAAACTATACTTCTTGTAAATATCAAAAGAAAATATTCATAACTTTATATTTTAGAGCGAGTTGAAGTCAAAAATTCTATTAAAAATGTGTTTTCAAAAAATCCACTTTTTTGCATTTTTCCCGAAAATGGTAAGAGTTATCAAATTTTTTATAGAAGAAAAAATATCCGGAATCGAATTTCCAATAAGGAAATGATTTCAAAAATTTTTTTATGACCATCAATTTTTCTACCATCAGAGGCCAACTCAAACGCCTGTGGAAATTTTATGCGTGGTTTTACTTTCCGACGACTCAATTGCAGACGAGTGATTTTGTTGCACTGAGAGACCTTTGGGTCAGCAGCAGACTTTCGATAGGCTGCTACTGACCATTTCGGTGGAACGCTACAGGACTACACTTTTGGGTTGCTGCGGTACAATTTTGGGCGCGTGACAGTCCAAAAGTTGTTCAGCTGCAAACCAAAGGCGGCATCCCCACTACTTCGGTGAGCTGCTCACCAACATTTTGGACTGTCACGCGCCCAAAATGGTATCGCAG